TTTTTTTTAGTTTTGTCTATCTCGCAGTAATATTTTTTTTCCCTCCTGCATTTTCCACTTTTTCATCTGCCTCCATCACTGGCATCAGTGGACTGGCAGTTGGAGCAAGCTTGAACTCCAGGATCAGAGAATACCATCTCTTTTCCAGCTGGGTTCTCACTGACTGACACAGCAGCTAGGCCGTACTGCAAAGTACTCTTCCAACTACACACTTGTGGGCTTTTAACACTGAGGGCTGTGGGCCGTGGGATATTGCACTGCTCTACTGTGGGACTCTTCTGTGGGCTTCCTATAGACGGTTGCATTATTGCCTGTCCGTCTCTGTGGGCTTGAACATTGTGGGTTGTGGGTTACTTGTGGGCGCTTGACTGTGGTCGGTCTCGTGACGAATTTCCTTTCCGATCGAGTCGACCTGTTGCTGTGCAGTGGGCTTATTCTGGGGGCTTTGATCAAGCAAGCTTCGCTTAGCTTGTGATATTCTCTGCATCAGTTGAGGGTTCAGTGGGCTTCGCCGCACGCACTTCACCTAGTTTTTTTTTTTATCTGAAAAGTCATCCTAGTACGTGCTTCCCGTCTGCTGTTCTATATCTGTCGATTAGCTCTAACAAGGTCTCGTTAGCAGATTAAAATGTCCAAGACCAAGGCCAAGGCCAAGGCTCAAAAGGGCGCCGACAAGGCTGCCGACAAGACACTCACCAAGGTCAAGGATGGTGGAATTACCAAGCCGTCGCAGACTCCTAAGGCCAAGAGCAAGGAAATCGCTCGGAAGCTTATCGCCAACGAAGAGAAAGCTGCTAGCAAGAACAGGAAGAAGAAGGGGCCGACTCCTAGCAGCTCCGAATCTGAATCGGACAGCGACGAGGAGATGGCCAGCGTGAGTTCTAGCAGCGAGAGCGAAAGCGAGAGCGAGGTCGAGACCAAGAAGCCGGCCAAGGAGGGCGCGAAGGCATCTAAAGACACTGCTAAAGCTAAGCCTGTCGAGTCGTCCGAGTCCGAATCTGAATCTGAATCCGATTCTGAGTCTGAATCAGAGTCCGATGAGTCGGATTCGGACTCTGACGAAGAGTCCGCCGAGGACAAAGTTGCGAAGAAGACCGGAGTCAAACAGGCTAGCGAGGACAGCGAGGAGTCTGAATCCGAGGCTGAATCTGAGTCCGAGTCAGAGGCCGAGTCCGAGTCCGAATCTTCCGAAAGTGAGGATGAGGCTCCGGCCAAGGTCAAGAAACCTGAGCAGCCCGCAAAGGTCAATGGGGCCAAGGTTCGTCGACTTCGATCACTTCTCTGATCACACTGCTAACGACGTTAGAAACCTAAGGAATCTGCTTCCGAAGAGTCCTCTGAGGAGGAGTCTGAAGAAGACTCCGAGTCAGATGAGGATTCATCTGACGAGTCTGCCTCCGTAGCCTCCGAGTCTGCCTCTGAAGCCTCGGAGTCCGAGTCGGGCTCTGAGTCTGAGTCTGAGTCTGAATCCGAGTCCGAGTCCGAGTCCGAGGATGAATCCGAAGAAGAGGAGACCAAAGAGGTGGCCAAGGAAGCATCGAAGAAGCGCAAAGCTGAGGAAGAGAAGGCCTCTGCTCCTAAGAAGTCCAAGACTGAAGGCGCTGAAAACTCTCCCAACCTCTTTGTCGGCAATCTCTCTTGGAATGTCGATGAAGAGTGGCTGCGCCGCGAGTTCGAAGAGTTTGGCGAACTTGCCGGTGTGCGTATCATGACTGAGCGTAATTCTGGTCGCTCTCGAGGGTGAGTGCACAATTTGCTCGATTGAGTGCGATTTGTATTTGGTGATGCATGCTAACTTTGTTCCAGTTTCGGCTATGTCGAGTTCACCAACGCTGCCGATGCCAAAAAGGCCTACGAGGGCAAGAAGGATGCCGAGATTGATGGTCGCAAGATCAACCTGGACTTTGCTAAACCCCGTGACTCCAACGACCGTGATCCCAAGGAGAAGGCTCAGGCTCGGGCCAAATCCTTTGGTGACCAAACCAGCCCCGAGAGCGACACCCTGTTCATTGGCAACATCGCCTTCAGCGCCAACGAGGATGCGATCCGCAAGAAGTTCCAGGACAAGGGTAAAATCGTGGGCATCCGACTGCCGACCGATCCTGAGTCGGGACGTCCCAAAGGCTACGGCTACATCCAGTTCTCCTCCGTCGATGAGGCGCGTCAGG